AATAGCCAGGGGAGTAGAAGGGCTATGAGCTGAGCTCAAGCGGTGGCCTGAGCTCTTGCGGTCGCAGACACAGAGCTCGCTGGAGCGTTATGGGTCGTTAACCCATACGTCGCAGGACGACAATCGAAGGAAGTCGACGGCGTGCCTTGAGTTTGGCAAAGCCAAATCGGAGGTGTCGCTCCACACGCACGTCCACTTCTTTGTTGCTCAAATGTAAGTTTTACAATGAGGAAAGTTTCCGGTGCCGTCGCACCCATCGCCCAAAGAGCGCTTCGTCATCTGTAGTGCTTTCGCCAAGTGCGAGCACTACAGGTATTGTCCGCATTGCGGATGCACGAGAGTCACTTCGCTGAACACGCAGACGTGTGCGATATGCTTCCAACGAAAATTGTTGTGGAACCAAGAAACGAGCTCGAAGAGCTATCCGTTCGGCAAGCTCCTATTCCGTAATGGCCGGGGGCCTGATGATGTGGAGATGTAAAGATCGAGTTACCACGCCCTTCGCTTCCACAGCGGGATCCGCCGGGCGGAAGCCATATCCTACACGAGGATCAATGACCGGCCGTGGATGGGAGCGCACCAGAGCCGCCTTTCGGGTAGCTTCCAGCTGCCGCTTCTGTGCCTCATCGAAATTATTGGTGATGACACCACGTCCCTCAGGTGATGAGAGGTCATGAAACGGACATGAGGTCCGCAAGGCACGAGCAGGGCTCGTCTCACGCCGCTGGCGCAGCTAGACTTCCTCGTCATCCCATGCGGGAAAAGGAGTGTCTGACTCTTAGTCGACCACCTCCACATCCTCAACATATTCACTCGTCATTGATAGCGTGCGCAAAGCGCGACGCTCGTGCTCATCGAGCCTACGATGTACATCTCCCCGGTGCCGCGGACGCACTGTCCGACATCGCACCGCGTGCGGGAGACGAAGTTGGGCTCTGTTCGTGCTAGCTGTCAGAACCAGCGAGACTTGGAGACTTTAGTGTCGTTGACACAGGGTTCATTGAGCACGAAAGTCGTTTTGTTCCAACGAACCAAGTTGCAGTGTCTAGCGGACACGCAAGCCTCGTTGAGGCAATAATCGATTGAGACTGTAAATGTTTTCAATCTTAATAGGGGAGAACGTAACGGGGTTACACTTACCCTAATATCTGGTGGGGTGCCACACGAGATGGACATGGTGTGACTACACCCAAATAAGAATACGGTAAGTGGCAGGGTAGCCAGTAGATATGCATGGGGTTTAGTGTCTAGGGTCTAAGCCAATATCCTGTGAAGTGGCGGGGATACTCAAAACTCCGAGAACTCGTGGGGGTTTTAGGCGCCACTTCGGCAAGACTGCCCAGACGTCGAAGACGCTTATTATCAGAAGGATCATGACGCTTTGCGTCGTCTTGCACACCGCAATTTTCGGTAGTAGCCCGGAAAGCCGGAGGGCCATAGGCTGAGCTCAACCTATGGCCCTGGGTTTCTGTGGTCGTATACTCACCCGTGTGAGAGACCATAGAGCTCGCAGGAGCGTCATGCTAAGTCTCATATGTCGCAGGGCGACAATACGCAGGAAATCGGCGTTGCACCTTAAGTTTGGCAAACCCAAATCTAAAATGGCGCTCAGCGCGCACGCCCACTTCCTTGTGGCTTCGCCGTAAGATAGACAGCGAAGACAGTTTCCGGTGCCTCTGCATCCATCGCTCAGAGAGATCATCATCATCTGCAGCGGTTTCGCCAGGGGCGAGCACCACAGGAATTGTCCGCATTGCGGGAATAGGGGCATCTCCATTTTAAGCTCAAAGTCGAGCGTGGTAGCAATCCATTGATTTCTCTTGGGGTACCAAAAAGCGAGCTCGCAGATATTTTCATTGATCGAGCCCAGCTTATGTAGTGGCCGGATGCTCGACTACGTAGACGCCTAACGATCGAATGATCGAGTCTTTTGCTTCAGTAGTGGGATCCGCCGAGTGGAAGCCGAACTCCACACGAGGGTCTAAGATCGAACGTGGATGCGAATGCATGAGAGCCGCTCTGTGTGCAGCCTCGAGTTACTGCTCCTGTGCCTCGTCGAGGTGATCGGAAACAATGCCACTTCACCTGGAAGCCGAGAGGTCGGGAAACGGACACGGTGTCCGCAGGGTTTGAGCTGGGCTTACGTCGCACCGTTGGCGCACCTTATCCTCCTCGTCTTCCCATGCTGGAAAGGAGGATCCGACTCGTAGTTGACTTCTTTCAAGTCTTCGACGAGGAAATTTGTCGCCCGATGTGGGCCGCGGAATGTTGCGTTCGCTTGCAGAGAACTTGGGATGTGCTTCCCGTGAAGCCACGGGAATACTATCCGGAGATGCACCCTGTGTAGAAGAAGAAGGGCTTTGCCTGCTGGTGCCCTCGGAACCAGCTAGGCTAGGTGTTTTGCGTATCAAGACACAGAGCTCATTGAGCGGAGAATGCTCAAGGTTGTTCTTAAGAACGTAACCGTGTCTAAGACACGCGAGCCTCATATGAGGCGAGTGGTTTCTTGTCGCGGTAAGGCCACACCATTGTGTGATTACATTAGCTTGGGTAATCCACACCTATGTACGGTCACACCATCTTAAGCGACCCGCTCTTTCATACAAGGGTACGTGTAACGCCGTTACACTCTTCCCAATTAAATTTGTTAATAACCACAATTCACATTCAACGGTACTGATAAGATTCGAATTCTTAAAGGGACACGTGGCAGGATTGCCATTAGTTATGCATATTGATTAGGTTTTAATATTTTAATTCGGTATTACGAAATTAATAAGGAAACACGAAATTAATAAAAAACTAGGGTTTTAGATATTGTCGGCTCTGCCGCAACTAAAACAATTGAATACAGTTTCAATTTTGAGCGAAGATTCGCTTTACCTTGGCTAAGGTATAAGTACTCTTCGGCGCAGCGGATTGCGATCCGCTGCACTCGTGCTAGTTCTTGTAAAGAACGTTAGGTCGGTGAGCTTAGCTTAGCTTCCAATTGAAAGGGATATTTATATATGGAAGATGTGCAACTTGCGTTATATCAATTATATATGATTTTTTTGCTTGATAAAGTCTCTTTAATTTCTGACATGTGACTAGCAGCTCAGCGGAATCATAGTTGACGATCTTTGCAGTCAAGATACAGTTTCTAGTTAAAATAATCGATTTTTGAATAAAATTATATTGATAGAGCTATGGCAGCACCGCTGCACACAGTGTCTCGAGGTCTGCAATCAAAAGGCCAAAAATCGGTGTATGAGTCAAAGTGCTCTTGCGACATGGACTTCTTATAAGTTTGAGGTTGGAATCACTCAATCTTCTATTAGCGGCATCCTCGAAATGAGTCGCGAGCTCGTGGCCATGACCGATGTTAAGCATTCCCAAACGGCCCCACGTTGCACATCACCCGCAGCTCGATGAAGCCTTGGCAACATGGGTGCTTCAATGTCAGACAAGGCATGTAGCCATCACTGGAGATCTCATCAAATCCAAAGCAAAAGTCTTTGCTGACCGACTTGGCTTGCGCGAGGATACAAACAATTATTCTAATGGGTCGCTGCAACACATTCAAGAAAGGAACAAGCTGCGTTGCATCAGAATCCATGGTGAGAGTGGTGCAGTAGATCAGGCAGTAATCGGTGCTGCCCTTCCTGTGCTTTTAGCAGTCATTGATCGGTATGAGCTGAAGGATGGGTTCAACATGGATGAAAGTGGTGTGAATGTTAGCAACGTAATTTACATGGGAGTCCTTTATTTTATGTCTTCGTAGGATTATATCATTTTATGGCTCCAGAAAAGACCATTGAACGTAGACAAGACAAAGTAAGTTTGTTTGCATATAATCATGGCCTTTTAAATCAAAAGATTGACTATATATACTATTATTTTCCCTTCTGTATCATAGAACCGCATCACTATACCTTTTGCTGCCAAAGCAGATGGGTCAGAGAATCCCAAGTCATTGTTCGTTGGAAAGGCCAATAAGCCTCGCTGTTTTAATCGTAAGACAGGAGAGCAACTGGGTTTCTATTTTTGCACAAAAAGAAAATGTGGATGACTGGCGTCCTCTTCCAGAAAGGGTTGACAGCGACATGGAGGTACAATATGTAAACGCTTCAAATATGTTCCCAATTGTTTCAATCACTGTTCTTCTTAGGCCAAAATAGCCGGATCCTTTATTCACTAGATAACGCCACTTCTCCCAAAGTCGACGATCACGAGGTAAATAATTTCGAGGTAGTCTTCCTTTCTCCAAGCTGCACGCCTAAGTTCCAGCCCGTGGATGCTGGAATAATCTCCGCGTTCAAGCAACATTACAGACGCTGTCATTTCAAAATAGGCGAAACCGACATTTCTAAGATTGATCAGCTAACCGCAATGAAATGAAACAAAGTAGCTTGGGAGGAGATATCAATAGCTACCATGGCCAATATTTTTCGCCACACTGGTCTTTCTGCAGGACCTCCTCAAATATCGGTGCCCAATACTGAGGAGCAATGCATCTGTACGACGCTATCTAAAGGCTTTCTCTTGATAATTCCATGGCTATTAAAGATATTTTGAGTCCGGTGAAGGAGGACGACACAGCAAATCTAAAGTTGAATGACAACGACATTATAGCCATGGACTAGAAAGATGAGGAGAATGAAGATCAAGAAAATGAAGATGTGGAAAAGCAGATAGTCACGAATCTCGAAAGCTAAAGAGCCTAGCAGATACTGCTTCACTGCTGGATTACGAATCCCACGGATAGCGCACATTCGAGAAGTGCAGGAATCTCTCAAAACGACGGCGACAGTCCAGACTACCATCAGTTCGTGGCTGGTTTTAAATTAGTCCAGCATGATTGCTTAGCACTTCATTGTCTTCAACATCAACAAAATTCGTGTTTATAAAAAGAATGTTAATTAATTCAGTACCTAACGTCGCCTTATGTGCATATGAGAGAAAGATCCAAAGGGAGCGGGCTAGGCAGAGCGCTATATACACGGGTCGCTACTATGAGTTAGTAACTGGTACTTGGCTACATTCAAATAAGCTTGCTGGAACAAACATTTATTAGTTATACGAGGGTATGAGTTACTCAGATATGAGTTATAATTGGGACAACTGTATTTTTAAAAAGTAAAGAGTTCCTGTATAACTTTCGCAAAAAATCAAATCATGAAATAGAGTATTTGCCAAATCTGGTAAATTACTATCGTCGCTTTTCTGATATCATCGCTAGCTGCGTTTCACTTGCTTGCCATCAGCTGTTAGGGAATCTTAGTACGGTAGAACCTGTCTAAATTAAACTTGTTTAATTTGAAACCCTCTCCAAATGAAACACTGTTCCCCAGTCCCAGCATGTTTAATTTAGACAGGTTTTACTGTAGTTTAATCCTGTAACAGATTTCGAATTTACCCCTGACTCTTAAGTAGCTTGGAAGCAGATGTAAAACCGTTAGCCCTCTGCAGGTCGATCACATAAATGCTGGCGAGCATAGGATTTCCCATTCCTTCACAGCTCGACGACTAGTAAATCTTGGAGATTAAGTCGGGCAACAAATTCAGAAGCTACCTCCTGGTTCTATGCAGCATGCAAAATTGGTAGGTCCCTCTGCAAACAAATCACATAGATACTGACAAGCGTACCTTGCTTTTAAAAGTAACTTGGAAGAATCTGCGCGCCAAAAGTACCACAAACTCGCACAAAAAGATGACGCCGGTACTGTGTTGAGTTCCATAAAAGTGGACTTGAAGGACGCTGTTCTTCTGCTCAATCGCTACAACATAGAAACCATTTACTTTCAAATGTCGCTCTATGTCGGCTCGGGATGGTTGATTTGTAAATGTGCACGAGAAGCCCCCCCTAGATTAAAATTCAAAATAAGAAAGTCAGAATTCTTAGTCATGAAAACCAGTCGGGCTTTATACGTGGTCTCAATCTGCTTCCAGAATTGCCAAAAGTCAAACGATGAAAATTCTGCATTTGAAGCCATCAATGACACGGGAGGAGCGGTAGGAATTTGGAAAACAGCATCAATGCTAGGTGACATTTTTTGAAAAGCAGCGAGTGCACTTTGCCGTCGACGTTCTGAGTACGTATCCTTGTCATCATCTTCATTCATTAATGATTGCAGATAAGTGCTGGAAGTATTGAATCCTGCTTTGATAATACCCTCGTGATTCCGACTTAGATTCGTGACTTGTTGTCGAGATTTCCACTGACATGACACTTCACTTTGTTCCCGTAGAGATGACATGATAGGCTGTATTGCAGCAGAATGAATCGCCGCATCGCCTTCGTCCGAACTGTCGTCATCAACCAGGTCATGCTCTCGAGACTGTCGAAAATCAGAAAGAAATTCTGCACTAGATGGGACACGTAATATAGGCTAAGAAACTTTTCTTCAACAAAACACAACGCTTCAAACCCAACAACCAACCCAAAAAGCTTATCAGCCTGTGATCCTTTACGGTAGATTGTACACAGGAGCCACGGCGAGATGACTAGATGCACCTTTCAGTAATAATCAAATGTCAATATCAGCACAAACCATTAGTTTGTACAAAGACGTACTGTAACCAAAATGAGCGTAGTAAGGTATATGAGATTGGAATCAGACGACGTGATATATTTCACCTCCACAAATCCGAATGCAGACAACGTAGCGATGCCCAGCCACAAAGCTAAGTAAGAAAAATTAAAAAGATGTGCGCGTACTCTCAACATTTATGCCAACCTATCGCACACGACCCAACCCCAAGAATGGTAGCAGTTTGCAAGTGCATAATCATACGGTTTCCATCTCGCTGCATCTTTTGCCACTTGGCATTGATGAAAAATCCATGGAGACTAAAGGTGAGTGACGTTGCCGCGTACATGAAATACAAGTTAGCCAAAGTCACATGGCCTGATACTATGTGAAACTTGAGAATGTTGGCGTGAAAAATGCAAATGACCTAAAAGATACACATTTACTTATCAGAGCACATCTATAATATTGCATGGACAACTAGACCGTACACCGCCGAGAATAAACGCAACAATCGAGGAAGAACCGATAATAACTCCCAAGATAATCAAACGACGACGAATCTTGCGTAATATCGAGCGTTTAGTGCGTTCATATTCCTCCCGGCTTATTTCCACAATCTGTGCTCCACACTTATCATGGCGGAAGTTCTGCCATAGAAATGTCAATAAGATTCTGGACAGATTGGCGTTTGAAACGACGAAGAAGACGTACACTAAACCGCATCAATAAGCGCACGACCTCTTTGTGCAAGCGCACTTTCAAGAAATTATATAGATTTTAGAAAAAAATAGAATTCTCAATCTATCTATGGATAATGCGAACAGTACGTGTCGCAAGCATAATCGAAGTCGATTACTTTCTTGTCTCAATAATTTTCACTTTGGCTTTGCGCGTCTTCTTCGGACGACCAATTTGAAATCGGTTACGCTTGTGAAGGCTGTCAAAGCGATCTAATAGCGGGTTGCCTTTAGGCTTCAGCGTTCGCATGTTACCTGTAAGCTCCTCCGCAAACGAGACCGGAGTTTCTCGTTCAAGTTTACTGCATAGCAAATAAGAAGACGCCATCAGTCTCGATAGTCACCGACTAATCAATTTTTGCACATTCTACTCACGTGTATTTACCACCCACGCGTACCAGAGGCGACTCCTGCAGTTTCTGTTCTTGCCGCAACTTTTTTAACTGCTGCTTTTTAATTGCTTCCTTCTCGCTCTTTAAAATGTCCTGAAGAATGTGATTTGAGCTGACCCATCATAAAATTAAGCACCAACAATGAGTAACATGGTTCAAAAATAGTCATGCCAAACAGAACGTACGCATTTATCTGTTTAATGATAGATTTTTCAGTACGCCGCATCTGGTGTTCCAGCTCCATCTGCTTGTGTCTCGAGCGCTTGTTGCGCTGCGCACGTGTCACTTTCTGTGGCCGTTTGTACGTCTTCCTCTCCGTACAATCGTCCTCAAAATCGCTGGATTCGTTCTCAGAGTCCTTTTTGATAAATTGAAGCGTCTCCTCAGACATCCCCTTAGCCACAGGCTCCTGAAGTTGTGCCTTTTTCTCGCGCTTCTCAAGTTCCAGTGCCACCGCCTCAGCCATCACGTCCTGATGCGAATCAAAGTCCGGGTGGTAGGACTGGCCCGCAGCCGCTACCTCAACAGTCGCTACAGCGTGCTTAGTGGAAGCCACCAGATTACGCCTCTTGGTCTTTCTGACTACCACGGGTGCTAAGTACTCGTCGAGAGTCTGGTTCTGCTCATCAATTTTTAAGCTACCGTCTTGGTTCCAGAGGTCTTTAACACTGTCCATCTCCATAGATTCACTCTGATTCTTCAGTTGAAACTTTTGCTCCCTCATCTTTTTCACGAGTATCATTTCGTTCTTATTCAATTTCGAAGCGTTAAACTTTCGGGTGCTAGCCAGAACAGGGTCTTTTTGCATTTTCTCAAGCTTCTGCTTCTTGGTAAGACGAGCACCGCCTTTGGAGTCAACCTGAAAGAGATCCTCAGCCTCAACATGTTTAATCTTCTTATCCTCCGCGTCTTGCCGTATACTCTCCTCCACCTGCGCACCAATGACTTTGACGCGCTGTTGACGACGACGCTTGGTGCCCATAGTTTAGTTGAAATGCCAGCCAGTGGAGCTTACTCAAACTACAATCGGGGCAAGAAGTGTGAAATCTGTAAGAATGTAAAAGTCAGCCTTATCAAAACTTTCAGCCAATCACAACGTGTATTGCCGGAAATCTGAGTTTGGACAAGTGATTCAACTCAAAGAACAATGGCGTTGTCTCCGTACGCACGTGCTGGTGCTGAGGAAAGCCGCGACGATCTGGCGCTAATGCGTCATGCCAGTGGAGTTTTCTCACCACAGGCTGTACAGCGTAGCTTCACGACCGAGGACCTGCCCAGCGCTAAGCCATTCGCGAGCGTGGTGGACCCGGCGTTGCAGACGAAGAAGCGCTCGAGCTCGGACATTTTTGAAAGCAGTCGAATAGCTATCATTAAGGGTATTCAGGGAGTGGGACTCGATCGAATGGTAAACACAATGCAGAAGGCTTTTACATCTGACGACTCCGAGCGCGTACTGAGAGCAGAGTGGCTTGTGGTGGAGACGGAGGAAGAGCAGCTCCAACGTCTGCAAGAAATCGTGCGAAAGCTGCAGAAAGCTTTCAAGTTTTCTAATCGCTTACGAACGCTCGTCAAATTGGCTAATACTACATTAGCTAAGTGCGAAGAATTGGTGGAGCGAAGTCAAACACATCTCGAGCAATGTAACCTAATGTTCACTCAATTTGTCAATGAAATCGCTACACTTACAGACTATTTAAGCAAATTGAGAGAGGCTGTGATTCCATCTCTGCAAGCTAAAGATCACAACGAAGAAAAGAAAAATGCTCGGCGAGCCGAGTGGGCACTGGCGAGGATGGCTCAGAGTACACAATCCATGGTGTCTGAATTGAGAGAGAGTATGGATGAATTATATGATTTGGCGATTGATTGCACTAAGCTGATGGTGCAAAGTATCACATTGCTGCATCTACGAGGACGATCAGCAGACTTTAGTGGCACAGGAGTGGCAGCGGGTGCCGCTGGTGTTGTGGCTGGTGCAGTTGTGGGTGTTGCCGGAGTGGTGGCCGCTCCAGCAACTAGTGGACTTAGCTTACCCATATCGCTTGCTGGCAAAAGTTTGTTTTTGTCGGGTATTGCGGCATTGACACCTTCCAGTATCATGCTCAGTCGTACGTGATTAATAATTGATTATTATGCAGAGGGTCTTTTGATTACATTTGCTGATTTGTGCAGGTCAAAGCCAACAGCTGAATGGACTTTCGTTGCTAGTCGTTAACTTGAAGTCGTGTCTGGAGATCATGAATCAGAAGCGCGAAGAGATGGCGGTGGCGTTTGCTGCGGTTGAGGCTCTTGATTTAGATGTGAAGCAAGCCACAGACTTTTGCCAGGATGCGATTGAACTTGAGAGCTCCATTTACGTGAGTATTGCGCTTTCTGAAAATTCACTGATAATTCATCTAACTCACTTGTAGGAAAGCTCGTGGGGCTTTATTGAGGATATCAGCGTGAAGCTTTCGACGCTCACACAATCAGTCGAGCTATTTCAAGCGTCGCCGAGCATTTGGCACTTTTGCAAGTCAGAGGATGCGATGTATCAGTATTTGCTTGCCGAAGAGGAAGACTGAACGGCTATAGCATTCTGGTAGTATGATTGATTATCGCTGCTGTCACGCAAAACGCATATTATGCTAGATGAGATATGTAGATGGTGCATCGAATGTAAAGGGATTGCTATATGTGAGAAAGCGGCATGGTTCGTACAAATTTTGCGGATTTTTCGCAACGTATGAACTGCGAAGCCAAAAGGGTTATACTTCAGCTCACTTTAAAATCAATTATCAAAAATATATTAGCCAGTGGTGAATGAATTAGTGCGAACCACAAGTAACCATTGATGTGTATGACCGAGTGGTCGAAATCTAGACTAGATTGTGAGTAATTCTCAGCTACTCGAATAGTAAAGCCTTATAGGAGTATATTTTAGAATATATATGTTCATGAATCACTGCAAGTTTTCGAGCGATCGTACATCCCAAATGGCAGCCCAACAATTACTTTGGCGACTGCGTCATCAGCATTTTTGGAGAAAAATGAGCGACATATATTTTGATTGTCCGGAAGTGCTCATTTCGTATTTGCGCTCCTTACTGTCCGAGATAGTTTTTTCCAGACATGAAAAATGCTTGATTTGGACATGATTGGATCCTAAAAGATAAAAGTGTAAGTGCAACATGGGCCACTGATATCTGTCCTATTTGCTCTATGCACGCACCAAACCTTAGAGTCAATCAGTCATTACTGCGCTGTCGGCATTCTGTAAGGAATAGACCATTACCATCCGAAACAAGAGGCGGTCTTGAAACAGCTTGACCAGAAGCAACGCTTCATTTTACAATACTTCAACACGTCGTGGCCTGAGCATTCACACATGAACTATCCAAAAGTAGCATTCGGGATTTACAATCCTGGCAATGGGAGAGCTGGCGAATCGTTATAAAAAAGCCATGTCCCTTTGACCTTGTTCGACGTCGTTCAGTACGCGGGCTAAATAACCTGCAAGGCGTTATTCAGTATGTGCACATTTGCACTAATAAGCCGTGATGTACGTGACATTATTGTCTTCCTTGCTGAAGGGCGCTTAAGTCCTCAATTACTGATTAACAAAATTTGAGATTGCTTTATCGAATTGTATCACCACAGTATACTATACTTAACCAATTTTAGTTGTTTACTTCGAAAACAACTCTACTATATTGTCAGAAATATTTTGTCTGGATTGAACCCCAATTCTTCAATACAATGCCTGAAACTTCGATGACCGATGAGATATCTAGACTTTTTCGTTGTCGAAGACAGGGGATTGTAGCTGGCGTAGCAGCATTTGTACGTTCGGCTCAAATGATGTTTCTGACGAGTTTGGTCCCAAAAAGTTTGATTGGACAATTAAGAAGTTGTGATCAGAAACCAAACAAATGTGCTATCGCAAGGTAATAAACTTGAGAACACGTCGTTTCTATATGGCTTGTCTGTCAATTCTCGGTGTTTGAGTAATCAGATGCAACCGAAGTCAGTCACGAACAACATTGATCGTGAATGCTCACAAGTTGTATTCGCAACCACGAAGCTACCTTTCAAGGCTCGCCACTGGTGATCCCATTCGTTTGTGATTCTCGATTGGCCAAACTGTCTGATCAATGTTCCTTATGAATATATATATCAGGAGCCACCATCGGGTCTATTGCAATGGGGTTCTCCAAGAACGCTGATGTCGCACCGATGAAATATTTATTCGTGCTCGATCGAGGCGCACATCTGTCGTCGCCGTTGTACTTGTTGTGAACGTGGCCGAACACTGAGATCTCCGACTCATCCACCACAAAAAGTGGTAAAACTGAATTTGTTTTTTTTGTGATTGGGCACATAAATGCGGTAAATTGCTCGGTGTGCTATGAACAGTCGCATTCAAGCCGGTGCGGCAGAGACAGCTCGATATCTGTTTTGAAAAGAGCTGGTGGATTTTAGTATAAGTTCCGAATTAATTAATTTGCAGGTTCAATGACTTGCAGGTGTCATACACTGACTATTGCCACCAAATTTAGCGACAAGGGCTGAGGAGTACAATACATACTAAAAAAGTAACATATTAAATGAGTTTACGGTACGATCGTCGTGCGTCGTTATTTATACACGTCGACTTGATCCTCCACGACTTATCTTTCTCACACTTAATTTCACCCGGCTCGCGGCGTACGATTCGAATCTCTAAATAGCACACTATTATCTTTGCAATGTCGGATCAGGTCTCGAATTCGATGGAATCAAGTTTATCATTTTCTTTCGCATGCGGCGGCTGGCTTAAGATGTACCTCTTTGGTGTAGCCAAGGCGTTACAGAAGTTCGAGCTGGAGAAAAACGCGCGGCTTATTGGCTGCTCGGCAGGTGCGCTGACAGCAACGGGACTGGCATTAAATTGCGACTTTGACGCCATTCGTGACCACGTCCTGTATCGCATTGCCCCTCAGGCACATGCATCTCTGGCCAGCTATTTTCGCGTACGAACGTATTTGCGTGATACGCTAGCGCGCCACTGCTGTACTCATCTGTTCGAGACACTCAATGAGTCGCAGCGGCTCACGATCGTCTACACTTCTTTGACGTCGCTTAAGTCGCGACGCGTCACAACTTTTGACTCAGCAGAGCACCTGACAGAGACCTTGCTTGCCTCGTGCTGCGCTCCGCCTATCGCTGGATTACCTTTTAAACTTGATGGTGAATGGGTGATGGATGGTGGCATGCTTGACTTTCAACCAGTTCTAGATGACAAGACGGTGACTATCAGTCCGTTTTACTGCGTTGGCGCGGACATCAAGCCGTCAGTGTATGTGCCAATGTGGTGGGCGTTATTTCCGCCCGGTGTACGTGATGTCGAGTGGCTCTATGACTTGGGTTACGAAGATGGTCTTAGGTGGATTGTCAAGAATGGTCTAACTGGGGGTCACAAGAATGTTGTTATTCCAAACAAGAGCACCAAATATGCAGGCGGCTGGAATACAACGGTGGGTCGAGTGGTTGGTTACCGCGGTTTTGAAAGTCACTTCCTAGATGCCCTCTTCATCGGGCTTTTTGTATGTTTATGGAGACCAATGGCGTTCATGTGTCTGTACCTGGAGCTATATCTGCAAGCCATTGTAACTGGCGGGAAGGCTGTGGTTTTTGGAGCCGCTGCCAAACTGCTCATTACAAATGTTTTTATGACTTCGCTGGCACTTGCTTTGGCCACTCTTGGCTTACAGCATACCATGCTCTTCTTGTTTGGACTGGCGGTGACAGGTTTTTTTCTGGGTGGAATGGTCCTACTGGTTGGTGGTTTGCAACAAGCTAGTGCAGTGGCATCTGCGGATTGGCAGCGTTGCCGTTCGTATATGCGCAGCATTACAAGTCTGTCGCTCTTCTTACATAGCATTCCACTGATTGGCCCTAAAGTACAGGTCAAACGGCATGACTTTTTACTAAAGAACTCACTTGTGTATCGCGTAGCAATGCACTTTGTTTAGATTTTTAGTAGCAATGGTGCCTATGAGTATGTATGAATGTGACCAGACAATTTGTTTTGTATTTTTAAGCGACCGACTTCATTTCATATCGAAAATTACTTCGGAAGTCTGAAACTACTCCAACACGACTTTAATTTCTCACCTCGCGTAAGGACAAACTCACCCCTTTCTTGTTACTGAAATCACGTTCCGTTATAACGGTCAGGCAAGAGTTGCTTACCCAGTTGTAACGGATAGACAGCATATGCTAACCTAGATGTAACGGCCCGCAGTATACATACGTCTACTTATTTTCTTAGCCAGCTTATCCAGTTGTTAGTTACCCAATTGTAGCGGCCAGGCCTCAATATAAGAAAAGTCAACGCATTGAGCGATATATTTTTTGCAGCGATTTTTCGCAGCACATATTTTGCCGACCTGGACAAAACTCGCGCTAAATGCACGTGGTATTCGCATTAATAAGCGCTCTAACAGTGCATATACCATGTACGTCTACTAGCCAGGAGTGAGTGACACATAATTATTTCATAGCATTGAAGCTTTCGCAGCAATTTCGCAGCTCTGACAGATTTTTCGCATGAACAAATCGCTTATGCAGACATGTCTATATCGGGGTAAGTGCTGCACTAAACCCTCATACAACTGGTGATCTGTATCAAAACAATACAGAACAGTTGTACGAAATTCACACGTATCGAAATATAGAATTTATGACAAAAGATAGTAAAAGGAATATATTTAACTTAGATTGAAATAGTACTAATTTTCAACGTATGTATTTCTGAATTGAAGGCGCTAACTATCGTTGTTAGTTATCTCAAGGGCTCTCGGTTTCGCTCATCGAAGCATGTACTTCTCTAGGCGATCGTACGCAAACTTTGATTTTCTCTGTGCAAAGTGCACGGCAATCCCGTTGCACTTGGTAGCACTACTAGTCAGTCACACGACCGAGTCGTTGAATGATTGTATCGTCTGTGACAATGGAACATAGCTGTTCGATTCAAAGTCCCACGGAAAATAGACCAGCTAAACACGCTGTTATTTTAACTTGGGTCCCGCTGGGATCAGCAGATTTGTTTTCAAGGAGCTGAAAGGGGTAAGGTACTCGTCACTTTATAAATACGCTAATGAGGCACGTCTAAGAGCGTCTCGGCCGGGTCTGGTGAGGGAATAGATTAGTCTTACCGTGAGCCTGCTGATGTTGAGCGTCCACACATTTGACAAAAGAAACGCGAAAATTTCCCCCTTTATATAAAGGAAACTGAGGTTGCCTCGGATCTGCCTTGTTTAACAGAGTCATTGCGAGTCGGCTTGAGATTCCCAATCTGGGAGGCTGAAGAAAATGGGCACTTATGTACAATACCGGTTTAAAAGGCGCGACTGATTGATTGAGTTTGAAGCGATAGCTTAAATGGATGTCTGCACGGTCTGATCAGGCATATCGAGCGCGGTGGAAGTCATAGAGAGAGGCGTGAGCTGATACGGTGTGCCTAGGAGTAAAGAGCTTCAGTCACATAATGCACCCCTAAGCGGTAGCAATTTTTTATTTTAGTAAGCGGATGCAGCTTGCAGCGAGACCTTTCGCGTCTACCCTAACTCATTTGATGGTGCGGTGGACATCGCCATTCATTGCGGATATAGCATCCGTGGCACAAAGCAGGACGCAGCGCCTGTAATGTAAGCTCTTCGCGATCGCCAGGCGATTGGCCTCAGCCATGCTAAGCAAGAATTGAATGACCTCTCTCACGAAACATCCGCGCCTTACATGCCTCCTTCGCTTTTGACTGATAAGTATGAAGAGTAGGACCAATACGCAAGAACGGACGACGATGTCCTCAAGGGAAACGTCGAATCACGATAGGCACAGGATGGTCTACTGGGAACGAAAGCAGGAGGCCAATGAACCCGCTCTTAATGGAGCAGCACTCTCTGAGAGAGGTGGGGCTCAATGCCCAGATTTGTTAAGATTAAGGTTTCAGGCTCGTGTGACCGCGGTAAGACCTGAAAGTTTCAGGAGCGTCGTGCAAATATGCACGACACCAGACTGTCAAAAGCATTAGGTGGTACGCAGAGATACTGAAAATGCCGAATATATTTCTGATAATTGGGCGTCTTGCAATAGCAATTCATTGTATTGTCGAAGGTTCTGTTGAATCTTCAAATAAAGTTTGAGGAAGAGGAGCGATGTTTAAGCATGATGTGACGTGAGCGCCACAAGCCTTTGGTTAGATTGACTGGAAGTCGAAATGTTTGGTATCACGCACTCTCCAGGTGGAGCACCGACAAGTCATGAAGTCATCTCTACCAAGAAATCGACGTCTCTTGGTTTTGGCGCAAAGCTGCAATTGCTTCCGTAGAATACATGGGATTGTTTAAATTAATGGAAATGTTGTTGATAGGTACCTTGATCAGAGCACAGATGGTTGAAGCGACAGTTAGCCTCCAGAGTAAACATTAATTGGAGCCTTACAAATATCTGCGTGCTGATGTCTCCTGTGCCAAAGCCGGTGAAGCTAAAGGGCAACGTTAGTCGCGAGTTGAGAAGCTATGCCGTGAAGAAAAGAAGAATGCCTCATCCTACTCACGGTGGCGGTGCTACTGATTTAGCACTACCGTATGGTGGTGGGCCCACCGCGACAAGCAGTGTGTTCTTACGGGTCAGCAGCAAAACAAATATTCACTTTAAGTGGAGTGACGGGGGGGACCTTGGGGTTGTAAGTATCACCACACTATCTCTGGCAGAGTCTTCTACAGAGCTAAAAGTGTTATCGCTCAAGGCTATATTTGCGGAAATGCAAAACGGTGAGGTCGCCAAAATGAAAGGTCTTGTATCGCAAGAGGAGCTAGGCTCATCATCCGCCACGGATTGGACCATCAATATAGAAGCTCGCAGCGCACTAAATGTGAGTGTTGGGGCAAGGAACTGTTAGAAGAACAGCTATCAGCTGTTAGAAGAACAGCTATCAGCACACGTTGCGCGA